TATCAGCCGACTCCTAGTTATTCTTAGGTCATTTTCTTGAAACATAAGACCCAGATCGCTTACATTATAAAAACATTATAAACGTTTTAATTGCACATCTATATGATCTATAGACACATACGAAAACGCAGCCTCACGTCGGACCATATATAACAGGTAAACTAGAAATATTGAAAGTAGGTTATACTGCATTACAACCGTTAAGTAATCTTCAAACAGTAACCTAACACCGCCTTTCTACAGTATCGGACTTTAAACAGGAAGCGTTTTAAGAATATCCCAATTTATTGGGATTTCTGTCATTCAAGGTAACACCTTCGCGATATTACAATCTATGAGGCAAAGTGTACTAAAAATGATCTTACTTTATAAGACATTTACACACCAGTGTTATAAAATGACAATTTTAAATAAGAAAAGACAACTATCGTCATAATGTGTGCACGTAATCATAGTGATATATATAATATATATATATATATATATATATATATATATATATATATATATATTTATTATTATAATATATATATATATATGTATATATATATATTATAAATATATATATAATATATATATAATATATATATATATATATATATATATATATATATATATATATTTAGAAACATATATATAAATATATATATATATATATAAATATATATATATATATATATATATATATATATATATATATATATATATATATACATATATATATTACAAATTTATATACAAACAAACACACGCAGAGATATATCTGTGTATGTGTATGTTCGCTTATATAGATGTATACATATAGATTGCAGGTATATTTGCTTCATGTAGTCCCCTCACAAAAAGGTGCACAATGCTTTTCGTTTTTAGGTACTTAGGTAAACAATGCGAGGTAGCTATGGACGTATATGACTTCTGTTAATCTGTCTTCACAGCCTTGTAAACACAGAACTCGGCACTACGATAAACCCTGCAGTTCTGGGGGATCCTCCAGTGACTGCTTATAAGACTGTAGTCAATTTCCTTGGCCATAGTAGCCGTATCGCAAAACCATGCCCGTCGATACGGATTAGAGCACTGATACCAAGAGCCTATTAAATTCACAGAAGAGGCTCTTTTCGCTACTGCAATCAGCTCCCGAGCCAGAGGTACCAACAGACATCTCAAAGCCTGCTCGATCACGGCTGGATACTGCACTGACGTCACCAGTACAATACAGATGTCTCGCTGGTGACATTTGTCTGCCATAGATGTGAGATTGTGTGTGCATGCATTTGTGTGTCTGTGTTTGTGTGTGCTTCGTTTTGTCTATATCTATTTATATGTCTGTATCCGTCTATACATATGCAGAGACGGTGAGCTGAGGCAACAGTAGTGAATAAACAGAAATTGGGGAAAGCGGTCCCATCGTTTTTAAGGATTAATTTGGAAGCAAAAGCTTGGTACAATCAATGCTGTAGTAGCAGTAATCTAGTTGCAAGAATCCTTATATCACCTCCCCCCCCCCTTCTTTCTGGAACGAAAAAAAAATCCTCGCCCTTTCTTAGTTATTTCTGCCTCGATAGCAACGACTATGATGTCATGCGGAAGGTCAAATTCCGCCTATAAAGCGTCAGTCAGGTTAACGCCCATCATCACATCCTCTCCTCAGCACCACTGCCATGTCTCTTCAGGTACACAGTGGTGCCGGCATTGTCAATTATCTTTTGAATAAGAGAAAGAAAAGGAATAGAACGAGAATGCAGTGCACAATTTGATTTACACATTTTTTCTTATTGAACAGGTTCTTGTATTGTTTATTGTGGTGGCAGTTGCCTTCGGTAGCACAGTCCCATCATACAATACTCCTGCGCCATCCTACGGTGCCCCTACTCCGAGCTACAGAGCTCCTTCCCCATCCTACAACGCTCCTGCCCCTTCCGTAAGTCTGCATACATATTATGGCACTTTTCATTGTAGTAATTCCGAACGTGAGATTCAGAAACCTGAATTCAAAACTGTGTTAACTAAAGCTCACATTAGACAATATATGATAATTATAATAATAGCAATAAGAATGACAGTGATATCAATAAAAATAATTTAATAACTCGATATGCCTTTCGACTTTTTCATTTGTTGTTTAATAAGGTCAATTTAGAAGGAAAACTTATCCGTGAAATGATAAGAACTACCGTCCAAAAATATTCCCAGAATTCATCTATAAACATAAGAGAAAAGTTTTGGAGGCAATGGGGCATTGAGATGAAAACTAGCAATGTTATGTGCATAAAAAAAAAAAAAATCCATTGACCCATTTATTCGCTTATCAACTATTTTCTTAACAGGGACCTGCTCAATACAATTTTAACTATGCAGTGAAGGACGACTACTCTGGAAACGACTACAATCATCAAGAAAATCGTAATGGTTATGATACTCAGGGAGCCTACTACGTTCTCCTTCCCGACGGCCGAGTGCAGAGAGTTTCCTACACCGTGAACGGCGACTCCGGATACGTGGCCGAAGTTACCTACGAAGGAGAGGCCCAATACCCTGCTTACCAACCAACCCCTTCCCGTTCCTACCAACCGGCTCCTACCCCCTCCTACCAGCCTACTCCTAGCTATGCATAATTCGTTTACTTGAAACAAATCTAAATTGTACATAATTTATTGAATTACATATAAATTGCATTTCAACTCCATTTTCTATTTCCTTGTAAATGAATAGTATATATGAAACATAATTGCCTATATATACATACATTCATTCATCATATATATATATATATATATATAATTTTATGGGTATAATTATATACTTTACTATATATCTACTTTCAACATATATTACACACATACGCTTATAGGAAATAAAAGCACATTTCGAATTTAGAGGTAGACTATTTGTACTTTTAAATCATGAATTCTCTCCCTTGGTTCAGTTAACATAAGTATACTTATGGTGGACGTTAAGAAATGAGGAAACAGATATTGCCATTCAACGTAGGCATTGATTTTGTTTAGTATTTCAATCAATACACATTGCTTATCTTGAAGAAGGCACTGATGGATATTTACTTTTTTTACGAGGTTCCATGCTTCCTGCTAATTCTGCCCACATGGACCAATTATCTGATAGGCTCATATCCTAGACAGCTCATTTCCGAAATCGTTTAGAAACACATGTATTTTTAATTAATACATTCATGTACTTTTTAATCTATAGACACGGAGATAAATGCACGCATGTAGCCCCAAGTTGGCCTTCACCCATCGTATACCTGGAAGCAACTATTAGACAAATTAGGAAAAGTACAGAAAAGCTCAAAGTACACTCCAAATCTTGATACACCATATCAGGGTTCTTCAAAGTATGGGTCGTGACCCAGTACCGGTAGCATACTCATGTCCAGTAGGTCTCCACGAAATTCTACTGAACAGGTAAATGCGGAATATTTACTCGTTTTTCCTATAGTTTACAATTTAACATCTTGTAACGCTGAGGTAAATTTAACAGTAGCACTTTCAACAAAGCCAGCCCTTCACACACACACATGTATATATAAATATACGTACCTGCACACACACACATTGTATGTGTGTGTGTATTGTACTTCAATATATATATATATATATATATATATATATATATATATATATATAAGTGAAGATATAGATATGTATATACACACATGTATATATATATATATATATATATATATATATATATAAATGAAGATATAGATATGTATATACACACATGTATATATATATATATATATATATATATATATATATATATATATATATATATATAAATGAAGATATAGATATGTATATACACACATGTATATATATATATATATATATATATATATATATATATATATATATATGAACGGATATAAACATATGATTTAATATATATATATATATATATATATATATATATATATATATATATATATATGAACTGATATTGAGTTAATAGACAGTCAATCCACTGTCTACTGTCTCATCTTCATATATATCTTGCAGTATTTTACAATATACCTCCTCTACTCCCTGTCTTCGAATAGCTTCTAGTACTGCTGGTCTTTGTACAGAGTCAAATGCCTTTTCGTAATCGATGAATTCCATACACAGGGATTAGCTATATTCATTTATATATTTTTTTTTTTCTTATTTGGATGAGCGTTTGTATGTGTTGTTGGAAATCCACTGCGGAAGTCTGCCTATTCTCTAGGCTCGTTAGAATCCAGACTGTCAGAGATACGAGTTGTGAACAGTTTGTTAGTTATTTAAAGGAGGCTTATGGATCGGTAGTTTTTTACACAGAGACACACATTTATCCATATACATATGTTTATATGTAGGTATGGACCTAGGTAAATATATATGCATGTATTTATATATACATATATATACACAATATATATGCATATATATCTGTATTGTGTGTGTATATATATGTATATGTATTTATACAAATATATATATGTATAAATAAGATATATACATACATAGTATTTTATATATAATACACAATATATATGTATGTATATAGAGACACATACACATATACACATATCCACACACACACACACACACATACACACACAAACGCACACACACACACACATACACGCACACACACAATTTATATATATATATACGAAAATGCATGCGAGAGCTTATATATGTCTACCCACATACACAGGCACACACACACACACACAAATATCCTTACATCACCCCCTCCCCCCCCATCCCCTTTGCTGGAGCGAAAAATTCTTGGCCCTTTGGAAGCAAAAGCTTGGTACAAACAATACTGTAGTAGCAGTAATCTAGTTGCAAGAATCCTTATATCACCTCCCCCCCCCCTCCTTTCTGGAACGAAAAAAATCCTCGCCCTTTCTCAGTTATTTCTGCCTCGATAGCAGCGACTATGACGTCATGCGGAAGGTCAAATTCCGCCTATAAAGCGTCAGTCAGGTTAACGCCCATCATCACATCCTCTCCTCAGCACCACTGCCATGTCTCTTCAGGTACACAGTGGTGCCGGCATTGTCAATTATCTTTTGAATAAGAGAAAAAAAAAAGAATAGAACGAGAATGCAGTGCACAATTTGATTTACACATTTTTTCTTATTGAACAGGTTCTTGTATTGTTTACTGTGGTGGCAGTTACCTTCGGTAGCACAGTCCCATCATACAATACTCCTGCGCCATCCTACGGTGCCCCTACTCCGAGCTACAGAGCTCCTTCCCCATCCTACAACGCTCCTGCCCCTTCCGTAAGTCTGCATACATTTGATGGCACTTTTCATTGTAGTAATTCCGAACGTGAGATTCCCAGACTCCATGGGATCCCCCAAAGTTGCTACTAAAAGTCTCTGAACTCTGTTAAATTAAACATTTGAAGAGGTATTAAAAAAAAAAAAAAAAAAAATTGGGTACAAGGCCGCTCAAGAAAAAACATCAGTATTCATGGCTCGATATGGCATTCCACGAACCGTTTGATATAAATTCATGATACATGAATATTACATCATTGTTGAAAATTAATAGCCTTTGAAACTTCAATTAAAAACTGTGTTAACTAAACCTCACATTAGACAATATATGATAATTATAAGAACACCAATAATAATGGCAATATTATCAATAAAAATAATTAAATAATTCAAGTGCCTTTCGACTTTTACATGTGGTGTTTACTAAGGTCAATTTAAAAGGGAAAATTATCCGTGAAATGATTAAAACTTTTGTCCAAAGATATTCACAGAATTCTATAAACACAAAAGAAAAGTTTTGGAGGCAACGGGGCAAGGGGATGAACATTAGCATTGTTATATATTTTCATACACGCGTGGTGATACATGCATAAAAAAATATATCCTTTGACCCATTTATTCGCTTATCAACTATTTTTTTAACAGGGACCTGCTCAATACGATTTTAACTATGCAGTGAAGGACGACTACTCTGGCAACGACTACAATCATCAAGAAAATCGTAATGGTTATGATACTCAGGGAGCCTACTACGTTCTCCTTCCCGACGGCCGAGTACAGAGAGTTGCTTACACCGTGAACGGCGACTCCGGATACGTGGCCGAAGTTACCTACGAAGGAGAGGCCCAATACCCTGCTTACCAACCAACCCCTTCTCGTTCCTACCAACCGGCTCCTACCCCCTCCTACCAGCCTACTCCTAGCTATGCATAATTCGTTTACTTGAAACAAATTTAAAATGTACATAAATTATTGAATTACATATAAATTGCATTTCAACTCCATTTTTCTATTTCCCTGTAAATGAATAGTATACATGAACACATGATTGCCTATATACACGTACATTCACTCATATATATATATATATATATATATATGTATATATGTATGGGTATACTTATATACTATATTATATATCTGATCTCAAAATGTATTACACACATACGCATATAGTAAATAATAGTACATTTCAAATTTAGAGGTAGATTATTTGTACTGTTAAATCATGAGAAGTACTACCCGTTGGTTCAGTTAACATAAGTATACTTACGATGGACGTTGAGATATTGGCATTCAACATAGGCATTGATTTTATTTAGTATTTCAATCAATACACATTGATTATTATCTTGAAGAAGGCACTGATAAATGTTTACTTTTTTTACGGGGTTCCATGCTTCCTGCTATTTCTACTCACATGGACCAATTATCTGATAGACTCATATCCTGGACAGTTCAATTGCCAAATCTTTTAGAAAAACATGCACTTTAGACAAATTAGACAGTACAGAAAAGGTCAAAGTACACTCCAAATCTTGATACACCATACCAGGGTTCTTCAGAGTATGGGTCGCGACCCAGTACCGGTCGCACACTCAGGTTCAGTAGGTCTCCCCGCAATTTTACATATCCTCCTGCAAGCCAGACTAGGATAAAATAACTAAATACACTAACTAAACTGAACAGGTAAATGCGGAATATTTGCTCGTTTTTCTTGCAGTTTACAATTTAACATCTTGTAACGCTGAGGTAAACTTAACATTAGCACTTTCAACAAAGCCAGCCCTTCACACATACATATATATAAATATACGTACCTGCACACACACACACAGCTGTGTGTGTGCTGTACATCTATAAATATATTTATAGATAAATGGATATATATATATATATATATATATATATATATATATATGAACATATATATATATATATATATATATATATATATATATATATATATATATATGAACAGATATAAATATATAAATATATGATTGAATATATATGTATATATGAACTGATAGACAGTCAATCCACTGAAGGACGTAGGCCTCTCCCAATCTTTTCCAACTTTGTCTTGTGTTTTTTGTTACCTCTTTATGTCATCTATAGCCCAGTCTGTTACTTTCTTTATTCATCTGTCGTCCATATATGACCTGCCCTTTGCCATTTTTTTCTTTTTGATACTCCCAAGTATATCTTCCACTTTT